TTGTTTTAAGGAATGTTCCTTCTGTTCCTATTTTCTCCAGCACTTTTTTTTTTTTTTTTGGTCATGGGGCTTGAACTCTGGGCTTGGGCACTGTCCCTGCGCTGTTCAGCTCAAGGCGAGTGCTCTACCGCTTAAGTCAATGCGCCACTTCTGGTTTTCTAGTGGGTTTTTATTGGAGATAAGAGTTTCAGGACTTTCCTACCTGGGCTAGCTTTGCACCTCAATCCTCAAATCTCAGCCTCCTGAGTAGCTAGGATTACAGGCGTGAGCCCCCGGTGCCTGGCTTCTTCTGCCTTTTATTTATTTTATTTTATTTTGTTTTAATTTTGGCTTCTGCCTTTTAACATGAATAAATGTTGTGTCTTATCAAAAGCCTTTTCTGCATCAATGGAGATAATCATGTGGTTTTTTCCACTTGGATCTGTTGATGTGTTGGATTACATTTATTCATTTACGTATGTTAAACCATCCCCAGGTCTCTAGGATGAAGCCTACACATACGTGTGTGTGTGTGTGTGTGTGTGTGTGTGTGTGTGTGTGTGTGTGTGTGTGTGTGTATTTTTTAATGTGTTTCTGGATTCTGTTAACTAGAATTTTGTTAAGGAGCTTTGCATCTGTGTTCATCAAGGAGATTGGTCTGTAGTTCTTTTTTTGTTGGGTCTTTACCTGGTTTGGGATGAGTGTGATTTTGGCATCGTAGAATGAGTTTGGGATAGCTCCCACCTTTTCTATTTCTCTGAAGAGCTTGAGGAGTGTGGGCATTAGTTCTTCTTTAAAGGTCTTACAGAATTCCATTGTGAATCCACCTGGTCCTGGGCTTTTCCTTGTTGGAAGACTTCTGATTGCTTCCTGTATCTCATTGTAAGATATTGGATTATTTGATTTGTTTCTTCTTTGCTCAGTTTGGGCAACTTGTATTTCTCTAAAAATGAATCCATTTCTGCTATGTTTTCTTTCTTTAGGGCATATAGCTTTTGAAAATAGTTCTTTATAATTGTTTGGATGTCTTATGTTTTTCTAGCAGTTTTAATTGCAACATGAGATTATTTACTTGGTCTGTCTCTCTCTCTTTTTTTTTATTGTGAAAATACCGTACAGAGGAGTTACAATTACATGGGCAAGATAATGAGTACATTTCTTATCAAGCATTGTTGCCTCCTTTGTTTCCCCTTCCTGTCCCTTCCCATCTCCCTGTCTCTACTTTCTTTTTTTTTTTTTTTTTGGGGGGTCTGGTCGTGGGGCCTGAACTCTGGGCCTGAGTGCTCTCTTTCAGCTCAAGGCTAGCACTCTACCACTTGAGCCACAGAGCCACTTCCGGCTTTTTTCTTTTTGCTTATGTGGTGCTGAGGAATCGAACCCAGGGCCTCAGGCATGCAAGGCAAGCACTCTACCACTGAGCCAGCCCCCTGTCTCTACTTTCTTGATGTGGGCACTGAGTGTGGTAATTTTGCCCCTCAGGACTGCTTTTGCTGTGTCCCACAGGTTTCCTTTTGATGTGTGTTCATTTTCATTGAATTGTAGGAACTTTTTAATTTCTTCTGTTACCCAGGTTTTGCTTAGAAGTGTGCTGTTCAATTTTCCATGTATTTGAGTAATTTCTACGGTATGATTTGTTATTGAGAACTAGCTTAATTTTACTGTGGTCAGATAGGATACAGGGGATTATGTCAATCCCCTTGTATTTGCCTAAGTTCCTTGTATGAACTATAGTATTTTGGAGAAAGTTCCATGAGCTGCTGAGAAGAACGTGTACTGTGCATTTTAGGGTGAAAAACTCAGTATATATCAGTTAGTTTCCCTTGAAATATGGCCTCACTTAATTTGGTAGCTTCTTTGCCAGTCCTCTGGTTGGTAGACCTGTCCTTTGGTGACAGTAGGATATTAAAGTCTCCTAGTATTATTGTATTTGGATCTATTTTATTGTGTAAGTTTGAGAGTATTTGCTTAACATATTTGGGTGCTTCAATGTTTGGGGAGTATAAGTTGATAATGGTAATATCCTCTTCTTGGATCCCCTTACTCTTTATTACCACGTTTAGCCTAAATTAATTCCCTAGAATTTACATCTGTTAACACAGTGACATTGAAGGTAAAGGCCTTAACATCAGAATTGGGGGGGGGGAGGGGCATCAACAGTTCATAACCCAGCCCTGTGCCACACTCAGTGTTATGAATTCTTTTAGTTTCAGGATTGACCCTTATAGTCACAGGAATTCAAAGAAGTCAGATAATTACTCAGTAATACATTGCATTAGATTAATGTTAATATTTCTACTTCATGGGGTTATTGTAACCATTGAATGAAATCATATGTAAATAACATGAGAAATGTTGCCACTCATTTCATCAAATATAAGGAAATAATAAAGAATTAAAATCAGAAATTAACGAATGGACACAATTCTCTATAGCTCTATGACTTTTCTTGTACAGAGGTCTTCAAATATCTTCATAAATATTCTGTAAGGTATGTGTTTATCATGTGGACTTGTGGGCTATTATAAAAATAGAGAAAACTAACTTTAGCCTCAAGAAAAATGATGAAAGGATGGACTATTAATCTGTTGGATTACCAGCTGCAGATTGTTAAAAGTTTACTTTCTCACTAGAACACAAAAATTACTTTAGACTTCAACCAAAACAATATGGTAAATTTAAATTATAACTTCAACAATTGGTAATATTCCTATCCTCTTTATAAGTATGATTGAATGATGTACCCTTGAGCCCCTTGGAAGACAGGCACTTTGGAAATTTAAGGTTTTGTTAATTCTTTTTTGAATACTATCTAGAAGAGTCTGCACATAATCACATTTATAAAAAAGGGCTGACTTTGAAGTGTTAGTCTGAAAATTATTTTTTAAGATAAAATTTCAGATCAAATTTCCTTTTTTACAGTGCTGGGAATTCAACCCTAGACTTCGTTTGTGCATGCTAAACATGCACTCAGATACTGTACAGTATCTCTGAGTTCCATTAAAAAAATCAATTAGAAGGTGTCTATTGAAGTAAATATTTTTTAGCTATTAATTAAAGTATACCTAAATGTAAAATAGTAACCTAACACAAAATTTTAAAAATGGAGGGTTTTTAAAAACGAGATTTCTGTTGCAAATGTGGTTTGAATATAAAAGTAAATTCAAGGATTTACATAGCTTCTATCTTAACATTCTTAGTTTTAACAACAAAAAAATCTGTCCTGTCTTTAAATGTTTTTTGTTGTTGTTATTGTTGTGTAATTGTTCTTTTATTGGCAGTAGCAGAGTTTGATCTCAGAGCTTCACATTTGCTCTGCTTGCTTGCTCTGCTTGAACCATGCTACTAGCCATGCTGTTTTGCTCAGTCTGGCTTTGAACCATGATCCTCTGGCTCTCAAGCCTCCTGAGTAGCAATGATTACACATATGAACTACCAGTTCCCAGCTTTTAAAATATAATTTTTTACTTATAGTGTAAGTAGTTATTTTATCATCTGGTGAACCCAGATTCCAATTTTATATTTCACTAGCATCTCCCTGTGTCTAAACATGAGAGCCAGTCTGTAGAGGAGGACTAGTGATAGGGGAGCTACTCACAGCAGATTTTTGTTTTGGGGTAACTTGGTAGTAGGGTTTGAGCTTGGAGCTTTATAGTTGGGTGCGGGCAGTTTATCACTTGAGCCCATTCCCAACCCATTTTGTTTTCATTATTTTTCAGATAGGTCTTGCATGTCTGCTTCCCATGTAGCTGGGATGACAGATTTGTAGTTGGATGAGATAATCTCATGAACTCAAACCATAATCCAGTTTCGGCCTTTCTGCTGGCTAGGATTACAGGCGTGATCTACTGCTAACTACTCACGACTTGATTATGATAATTTTTTGTATTTATCCCTGTTGTGAGTAGCTCCTGTGAAGAAGCTCTAATATCACTTAGAATTTGTGAGAGAGAGAGGTAAACAGGATCTTTTATTTAGATAGTATGGCTTCTGATTGCCTCATTTTCTGCAAGTAAAACTAATCTCTTAGATTTGGAATGGTCATTAAGTTTCAGTTCTTTTCTAATCATATAATAAGACTTCATCCAACTCATTTAGAAATTCATTTGGGAATCTTCAGCTAATTGCCTTGACTTTTAGTTAAAAGTGTGTTTTGTCATAGGAAGGATGAGATTTTTATTAATAACTATGATTTTGAAGTCACTTTTAGATATACATACTAGTTCTGTAAGGATACTTCCCTTTTATTTCAAAGAAGAAATGCTACAGACTATTCTGGTAACCTGTAAAATTTATTAACAAGTTATGTGAAGTTTAGATTTATGAATAGATTTTTTTTTTGGGGGGTCCGGTCGTGGGGCCTGAACTCTGGGCCTGGGCGCTGTCCCTCAGCTCTTCAGCTCAAGGCTAGCGCTCTACCACTTGAGCACAGTGCCACTTCCAGCTTTTTTCTTATGTGGTGCTGAGGAATCGAACCCAGGGCCTCAAGCATGCAAGGCAAGTGCTCTACCACTGAGCCACCTTCCCAGCCCTATGAATAGATTTTTATAGGCAGTTTTCTTTTGGATCCCTTTGGTTTTTTGTTACCAAATTTCAAATCACTTGTATCTAAGAGTTGTAATAGAATTCTAAGCCGGGCGCTGGTGGCTCACAGCGGGGCGCTGGTGGTTCAAGCCTGTAATCCTAGCTACTCAGGAAGCTGAGATCTGAGAATCGAGGTTTCAAGCCAGCCCTGGCAGGAAAGTCCGTGAGACTCTTATCTCAAATAAACCACTAGAAAACTGGAAGTGGTGCTGTGGCTCAAGCAGTAGAGCGCTCGCCTTGAGCTGCAGAGCTGAAGGACAGCACCCATACCCAGAGTTCAAACCCCATAACAGACCAAAAAAAAAAAAAAAATAGAATTCTAGTGATTATGACCTGATGTGAAAACTTTTCTTTACATTTATTTAGAACTTTGTGTATATTTTTAGAACTTTGTATATTTTTTGAAATCAATACTAATTGTCATTTTTTCTTTCTCACAGCTTCTTATTCTCCAATTCAGCCTCATTCTCTAATAAAACATCAACAGATTCCTCTTCATTCACCACCTCCCAAGGTTTCCCATCATCAGCTGATATTGCAACAGCAACAACAGCAAATTCAGCCAATCACTCTTCAGAATCCAACTCAAGATCCGCCCCCATCCCAGCACTGTATACCACTCCAAAACCATGGCCTTCCTCCAGCTTCCAGTAATACTCAGTCACAACATTGTTCACCAATTCAGAGCCACCCCCCTCCTTTAACTGTATCTCCCAATCAGTCACAGTCAGCCCAGCAGTCTGTAGTGGTGTCTCCTCCACCACCTCATTCACCAAGTCAATCTCCAACTATAATTATCCATCCACAAGCACTTATGCAGCCACACCCTCTTGTGTCATCAGCTCTTCAGCCAGGGCCAAATTTGCAGCAGTCCACTGCTAATCAAGTGCAGCCAACAGCACAGCTGAATCTTCCATCCCATCTTCCACTTCCAGCTTCCCCTGTTGTACACATTGGCCCAGTTCAGCAGTCTGCCCTGGTGTCCCCCGGTCAGCAGATTGTGTCTCCGACATCACACCAACAATATTCAGCCCTTCAGTCCTCTCCAATTCCAATTGCAACCCCACCACAGATGTCAACATCTCCTCCAGCTCAGATTCCACCACTGCCCTTGCAGTCTATGCAGTCTTTACAAGTGCAGCCTGAAATTCTGTCCCAGGGCCAGGTTTTGGTGCAGAATGCTTTGGTGTCAGAAGAGGAACTTCCGGCTGCAGAGGCTTTGGTCCAGTTGCCATTTCAGACCCTTCCTCCTCCCCAGACTGTTGCAGTAAATCTACAAGTACAACCACCAGCACCTGTTGATCCGCCAGTGGTAAGCCCTTGGAAGCTCTTTGACTTTCTTGATGAACTGAAAGTAAAAACTGTCTCTCCCATATTGTATTATGTTGCTAACTAAATGCTTGTGAATTTAAAAAGTTTGGGTTTTTTATATGTCATTCTGACAAACATGCTATATGGGCAAAAAAAAAATTGCCATTATTGGTTGTAGAATGGTTGCATGCTTGATAATTTGTGATGGTTAAAGTCCCTCGTTAATTTTATTACTATTTAAACAAATCCATCTGCTATCTTTACAGAGTTGATTTTTTTTCCCCAAGGGAATGCATTTGAACCAGTGTCATCTGCACAAAGTTTTTTCTCTTAAGGTGATTATCCTTCATAGATCCCTTCTGTTGGCTTGTGTGTTCTTAAACGTATGGTTTATCTAGCTAAGCTTTCGGTGGTGTGCATTCTGAAGTCCTGGGCTTCAAGGTGGAGGAGATATTCTTATAAACTGTACTTTTTTGATAAAATCACATTTTATAATTAAAATCTTGTGAAAAATAATCTGTTCTAGGAAAGTCCAACTTTGCAAAAAATATTAACTGATTTTAAAAAAGCTTATACTAAGAAAAATATATACTTAATGTTTCTGTTATATATATATATAAATATCACTTTAAAAGCTCAAATTTTCAGTAATGACTTTAATATTAATAATGGAAATAGTTAAACATTGGGAAGTATGAATGAAACTCATCAGAATAAACTTCTAAAAATGATATGTTATCTAGAAAGGAAAATAACCTTGTAAAATATTTTAAAACGTTATCTAAATGAACTTAAGATTTATAACCTAATTTCAAATAAAATTGAAATAAGATCTGAAAATGTTTTATCAGAATGATCAAAAGCATAGTTTCTAAGGGCAGTAGGGGGAAAACAAAAAACAAAAAGAACCAAAACAAACAAAAAACAAAAAAATCCCAAAATCATAGTTTCTGAGAGGAACCTTCCTAAAAGGAGATTTTATATCAGACCTCACTGAAGAAATTTTATCACTTAAAAACTTATAACCTTTAGCTAAAGGAATTTCAATGCTTTTGGAATACTTTGGATCTCAGGATGCACATTTATAGATATTTTATTCTCATCATTCTGATTAATCTTACTCGGCATAAAGAGATTGAATTTTAGCTGGACCTGGTGGTGCACACCTATAATCCTTGCACTTGGGAGGCTGAAACAGGAAGATGGCAAGGCTGGGCTATGATAGTAAAAGACATTGTCTCATTAAAAAACACCAAAAAACCCAAAAAACGATTTTGAATCCCATTTCCCCTTCCCTTTTTAGAACTAGAACTTGATAAAAACAGCAGTTCTAGAAACATTTGTCCTTTAAGTACCTTAACTCTGTGTTTTCTTTTAAAGGATTTTGAAGAGCTTACTGTGGGTATTGTAGCATAAACACTGTAGCTCAGTGGCAGAACTCCTTCTTAGCATACATAGACCTAGGTTCAATCCCTGGTATTGCAGAAGTAAGACAAAAATAAAACTACACTTTTAGAAGCGTATGGCATTTTCAAAGAAATCAAATTTAATTTAAATTCAATGTTCTCCCTAGTTACGTGATTTGATTCCAACAAGTGAGAAATCTTTTCTATATTCCTTTTCTAACTTTTTTTTAATGTGAAGGGAAACAAATATATTTGGGTAGAAATATCAAACACTTTAAAATTAAAGCCCAAAATAATACGGTTCTATTTTGTTTGTTTCTGCCCTATTTTAAAAAATTCTCCTTAAAAAAAAAAATTGTGTCTCATTTTTGGAAGCCTTTTTCTTAAGTTATTAATACCTTTTTCTGCTCTAACTTATTTAATTGTATGCTTGCTGTAGATTTCCTGTTGTCTTTGCTTCTTTCTTTTCCTTGAGTAACTGGTCTGGTTATTTAATTGCTATGTTTTTCTTTTATTATCTTTGACTGCTTTAAAAAAAATCACAAATGATAGTTTCATGGTTATTTCAAATACTAAAGGTAGAGAGATATTGCTTAAAAGATGTGAAATTTTGAAAGATAAAAGTAAAATCAGTATATATTTTAAAGTTACATTTATAAAAGAATTAGAGTTTTATTGACATTTAAATAAATAAGTTATGTTGAGGGTAGATAATTTAGAACTAATAAACAAATGTTCCTCAGTTTATTTAGGAAAGGGACACATGGGCATAATGGACTTTATTGAGGTAAGTTTGGCAGTCTTTGTTATTTTTAGAGTAGTTATAGTTCTGAGCTAAACAGAATTTATGATGTACAGTTTCATAATGATGTTGTGAGCAAACTTTCCATCTCTTCACTTTCTTCAGTATTTTAGTTGTTGCATCTAGATTTCTTTGTGCCAATCATGCCAGATGTCTGTGATCGATATGTTTTGCCTTTACATGAGAAGAAGTTAGCCTTAACTATGAAGTATGAAAAGCATTTCACAGTATCCCTTAATGGGTTATTTAAAAAAAATGCTATTTTTATTATGGTTCTTTCCATCTTTTAAAAAACACTTTATTTTTAAAAATAAATTCCATGCTTGATCATGGCTTGATTCCTTAAAAGATACTGTGGCAGATACTTGAATAATATATTACGAGATCAAAGAGATTTCCATCTTCCTTGTAGTAAAAGATAATTATCTAAAACAGGAAATGCTATATAGATAAATTGAGCTAGTTAATAAAATCATACTTGTTTATTCTGGATCAATTCCTCTACAACTCAGACAAATGAATCACTGAATAGATGCTTCTGTATACTAACAGTGGTCTATTGATGTTTGTCAACTGCCAAATATTTTTGTGGATGATTTTTCTTGTAGAGATCATTATCACCATTTAAAAAATTACTGTTGCCATGACTAGATACTAGTAGTCACCATTGTTGAACTGTGTAGTAACAAATAACTGCTTTCAATTCTGAGATCCACACTCTAGCAGAGAAGTCTCTGTGGTGAAACAACGTTATAATTGAAGGGTTGTAAGCAGGTATCTTTAAATATGTTGCCTGTTTAGTTGATTTGGATCATAGTTTAGGATATTATAGTTGGTATAAAGATAACAGTAATCTTTTAAAGAAAAAGATGTTTTATTCTTAGAGATTTGGAAAGATTTCTAAAAAAAAATCATTGCTTGTTATTTTCTTCCTTTATAACTAAAACCTCACACTGTCTTTTTTATACATGGTTTGTGCTGGATTCAGAAGTTTTTATTCCTTACCTGTATAATTTTTTATATATGTCTAGCATCAACCCTTTTCAGTAGTTTAGTTAAAATACAATATTAGATGTTATTTAAAAGTTACTTTATGAATGTTTTTTCATGGTTAAGATTTGTTGGAATGTTAATTAAATAACATAAAGAATCTTTCTATAATTAAGTAAAAGATTTGTACGTAAAAGAAAGGAGGTAACCGGGCGCCGGTGGCTCACACCTATAATCCTAGCTACTCAGGAGGCTGAGATCTGAGAATCACAGTTGAAAGCCAGCCCAGGCAAGGAAAGTCCGCGAGAGTTTTATCTCCAATAAACCACCAGAAAACCGGAATTAGTGTTGTGGCTCATGTGGTAGAGTGCTAGCCTTGAGCTGAAGTTCAGCTCAGGGACAGCATCCAGGCTCAGAGTTCAAGCCCAATGACCACCAAAAAAAAAAGACACCATTTCTACGAACGTTCTTTGAAAATTAAGCCTTAAATTTAATGAAATGTTACTTCTAGTTACATAGCTCCTTCTCAGAGAGAAGGAGCTTAATTATAATCTTTAGAATAGAACGAAAAGGTAAAGGCTTCCTCCATTGGTATGGAATATTGGCTAAAAAATTCATCTAAATGGCTTTGGAAGTATATGTATGTGTGTGTTGTTTTAGAGAAAGATATTTATTTGACTTATTTGAACAGAAAGGAAAACCATAATTGCACATCATTAGTTTCCATAATTTAATCTTGAATTCACATAGTAAGAATAAAGAAGAGCTTAGGATTTATTTCTTCTGACAATATATTTTCTATTATACATTACTCTGCAAATTTACTTAATGTGCCTGTGAACATTGTAAGTATCTGTTTTAGTTTATGAAAATGGATACTAATTTTCACAGAAACTCTTCTATTGGAAATAAATACAAACAATAGTGTGATTCTTGAAGTAGTTATTTGTGTAAAGTAAAACCTTAAAAAAAAATCTTTTAAAAATAATTGTTAAATATATTCTTTTAAAAATAATTCCCCCCAAAATTAAAAAGTCACCATCCTTAGTAATTCTTGCTTAAAAAGTGATCCAGCTTGTTTTCATTGAAATATCAATTATTATGAAAGACTTGAATGGCTTTAAGGTTTTTCTGTCAATGTGTCAGAATACTCATTTTGCCTTGGTTTTAATTTTTTTTTTTTTTTTTGGTCGGTCGTGGGGCTTGAACTCTGGGCTTGGGCGCTATTCCTCAGCTCTTCAGCTCAAGGCGAGTACTCTACCGCTTGAGCTGCAGTGCCACTTCTGGTTTTAAATTTAATACATTAGAATTTGATTTTTTTTTAAGTTAAGAGCACTTCTTTCTGTGTGCTTTTGTAGACGTTTTAAGGCAATATGGTTTGTCATTTCAGGTTTACCAGGTTGAAGACATGTGTGAGGAAGAAATGCCTGAAGGGTCTGATGAATGTGTCCGCATGGACAGAACCCCCCCACCGCCCACTTTGTCTCCAGCGGCTATCACTGTGGGAAGAGCTGAGGATTTGACCTCTGAACATCCTTTGTTGGGTAAGGAAGAACCAAAATATTGTTGAAATTAATAATGTTAATAATAGGAGATATTGTTCCATTAGAGATGATATTAAACTAATATGTTACTTCAAAGTGCCGCAAAAAATAGAATATAAATTTTTATGAAGAATAATTTTACTAAAGAGCAAATAGTAATTATTTGCCTTTTTGGAAAATTATTCCTTTTTTTTTTGGCTAGTCCTAGGGCTGGCGCAATTCAGGGCCTGGGCACTGTCCCCAAGCTTCTTTTGCTCAAGGCTAGCACTCTACCACTTGAGCCAGGTACCACTTCTGGCTTTTTCTGTTTATGCAATACTGAGGAATTGAACCCAGGGCTTCATGCATGCTAGGCAAACACTTGAGCAGTAAGCCACATTCCCAGGCCAGAAAATTGTTTAATAGCAGGAAAGGTGAGTAGCTTATAAACTGGGTACCCACCTCTTGAATGAAAAATCATGCCGCTTCTACTATTCTTTTTCATATACGTATTGAGGTTTATGTGTTGAGGTGCTTCTATCTTAAATATTAGAGTAAATGAAGATTCTACCTAAAGATTTGAATTATGCTTTCCAAAAATTAAAAACATTTCAAGTCATATCTTATTTCTCAAAATTGCTGTGAAACAGCCTATTTTTACAGATTTCTTTTTCTTTTTTTTCCTGGTTGTGGGGCCTTAACTCTGGGCCTGGGTGCTCTCCCTCAGCTCTTCAGCTCAAAGCTAGTGCTCTATCACTTGAGCCACAGCGCCACTTCCAGCTTTTTCTGATTATATGGTCCTAGGGAATCAAACCCAGGGCCTCATGCATACAAGGCACTGAGCCACCTTCCCAGCCCCCAGATTTAATTCTTAAAGCTCTTTTTGTGCTAGTTAATATTCATAACATTGAATAGTTTCAGAGGACACATGCTCTTTACTAAAAAGTGTGCTGATCTGTGATCTAAGTAATACCAGTATTGGTATAGCCTTTGTGTTCTGTTGACTATCTCATGGCCTTCATGAACATTTTCAGCCAAAAAACACCCACTATAACTAACTATGGAGGTACTGACCCTGTCTGACAGCAAAGCAGCTCTTGCTCTGTTTAGTCATCATCCGTTCTCCTCCCCTTATCTATCAACCTTCCTTTCTTTCTTTTCTTTCTTTCTTTCTTTCTTTCTTTCTTTCTTTCTTTCTTTCTTTCTTTCTTTCTTTCTTTCTTTCTTTCTTTCTTTCTTTCTTTCTTTCTTTCTTTCTTTCTCTCTCTCTCTCTTTCTTTCTTTTTTTTCTTTCTTTCCTCCTCCTCCTCCTCCTCCTCTTCCTCTTCCTCTTCCTCTTCCTCCTACTTCCTCCTCCTCCTCCTCTTCCTCTTCTCCTCCTTTCCTCCTTTGTTCCTTTCTTCTTTCTTCTTCTTCTTCTTTTTTTTTTTTTTTTGCTAGTCCTGAGGCTTGAATTCAGGGCCTGGCACTGTCCCTGAGCTTCTTTTGCTCATGGCTAACACTCTGCACTTGAGCCACAGTGCCATTTCCTGCCTTTTCTGTTTATATGGTACTGAGGAATGGAATCCAGGAGTGCATTCATGCTAGGCAAGCATTCTACCACTAAGCCACATTCCCAACCATCTCCCTCATTTCCTTACTAATGTGACTCTGGAAAGTATAGAAGAGGAAAATCAACCTTCTTTTCTCCTTCTTGGAAATAGGAAATGTTTAGTCAACAAAGTTATATAAACTAAGACTGTTAGTTTATATTAGACTGTTATATTAAACTATTGCCTTTGTTTATTCAAATGCCATCTTAAAAGATTGATTTAAAGCCTGTGCTGATTGTTCATGCCTGTAATCCTAAGCTACTCAGGAGATTGAGATATGAGGATTGCAGTTCAAATCAGCCCAGGCAGGAAAGGCCATGAGCCATAAGATTTTTTTTTTTTTTTTAGTATTATTGTTGAGTTGATGCACAGAGGGTTACAGTTATATGAAACAGGTCATAAGGAATGAATACAATTCTTTTTGAACCAGGTCTCCCTTCTGCCTCTCCTGGTTTTTCTTTCCTGTTCCAACCCACAAGATATCCAGTTTATTTTCTAGGTAGAGTCTGGCCTTGTTCCCCCTTTTATGTGCCCTCTTTTACCCTCCCAAATGCAAACTAACAGGACAAAAGGGAAGGAAAACGAAACAGGCAACTATGGCAACTAAAAAATGTTTCATTTCCTCTTTTTGGAGTTCACATGAGACCCTTATCTCCCTCCAGTTAACTACTAGGAAACCAGAAGTGGTGCTGTGGCTCAAAGTGGTAGATCATTAGCTTTGAGCAAAAGAGCTCAGGGACAGTGCCCAGGCTGTGAGTTCAAGCCCCGTGACCGACCAAAAGAAAAAAAAAGATTGATTTAAGTAAGTCTAAGAGTAGTATAAAATATTTGTGGTTTCTTCACACTCAAAGTGGATTTATGTTGCTGTAGATTTCTGAAATTTTGATTTAAAAGCCAAAATCGATGCTTTAATGAATAATGCATTTACAATGTGACTATAATTACAATATAAGTATTACTAATTTATTGACACCAAATACAAACACTTTTGGAACACATTAAATACCTTTACTTTTTTTTTTTGGTCGGTTGTGGTGCCTGAACTCTGGGTCTGCGCACTGTCCCTCAGCTCTTCAGCTCAAGGCTAGTGCTCTACCACTTGAGCCACAGCATTACTTCTGGCTTTTTCTGCTTATGTGGTGCTGAGGGCCTCATGCATGCAAGGCAAGTGCTCTACCACTGAGCTACCTTCCCAGTCCCTATCTTTTTTTTTTTTTTTAGAATCTAATTTGAAATCTTGCCAAGTTAGTTGCAAGTAGACATTTTGATCTTTCTATAATTTACTTCAAACTTATCACTTGTCTGTAGCACACAGAAGGATAAGTACAGGCTGATGTTTAGAATAATTCTTAACCCAAATTGTGAAATAAACTAACTTGAAAAATACTTATTTCCATCCAAGATTCAGTTTGAATAAATCTGTAATTCTATTTTATTTTTTTTGTGGAACTGGGATTTGAACTCAGTGCTTCAAGCGAGTGTTTTACTGTTTTTAAGCTATGCTTCTACCCAGAAAGTCCTCAAGACTAAAATCATCGATGCAAAGAAGTAGGAATAGTTCCTAGGTCTTGTGCAGAAAATGAAACTGTTCTATTTGCTGAGCTTCTGTTGTTTAAGGATTCTTATTATTCCTCTTCTACCTAACGAGGTTTTGAGCATCTGTGCTAGGTGCTATCATTCCTTTTCATACTTAGGATAGAGTGGAGTTGACAGCAGTTAAGAGCATGCTTTCTAGAACCAAACCACTTGGGTGGCACAAAATCAGCCCACGCTGATTTGCCATGTGCCATTACAACAAGTAATAGAATCTATCTAAATGGAGATAATAATAGTGTCTACCTATAGACTCATTAAATCAAATGACTTACAACATGTAGGACATTGGACATGGTACTTGGTATATGAATAGTAATTATTGTTACTGTCTTTGCACAACATATTTTTGTTTTTGTTTTCTTTCTTTCTTTCTTTTTTTTTTTTTTTTTTTTTTTTGGGTCCAGTCGTGGGGCCTGAACTCTGGGCCTGGGCGCTGTCCCTCAGCTCTTCAGCTCAAGGCTAGTGCTCTACCACTTGAGCCACAGTACCACTTCCGGCTTTTTTTTTTTTTTTTTGCTTATGTGGTGCTGGGGAATCGAACCCAGGGCTTCATGCATGCAAGGCAAGCGCTCTACCACTGAGCTACTTTCCCAGCCCTTGTTTTTCTTAAACATCTGTGCTCATAGCTATTCCTAGCTACCACCTGTTTCTTTCTAGTGTAATACAGGCAGCAAAGGGTTTGTGGTACTAAATGGGAAGGTAAAGTCTCCATTTATTGTAGGCTGTCAAATTTCTCTTACTGTAGTCCTCAGAATTTGATGGGGGAGGGATCACTGTGATTCAGTCTAACATCTTGCACTTGATACAGTGCTACACTGTTGAAGAGAGTTAAAAATAAAAAGCACATGTTTTTGCTGGGCATTGATGGATCACACCTGTAATTCTAGATACTCAGGAGACTGAGATATGAGGATCACAGTTCACAGCTAGCCTGGGCAGGAGAGTCCATGAGATTCTTATCCCCAGTAATCCCCAGTTAACTACCAAAAAGCCAAGAAATGGAGCTGTAGCTTAAAGTGGTAGAGCACAAAATCTCAGGGACAGCGCCCAGATCCTGAGTTCTGAGATCAAGCCCCAGGGCTGGCACAAAATCAAGCCAAAAGGTACATGTTTTTTGAGGATTGGAGGCTCAGCTTCTTGAGATTAAGATGATGACCTGTGTAAATTATTAAAATTCCTGCTTACTCTGTAGATTTTGTGAGCCTTTTCCATTTTCATAGTATTTGCCTATCCGTTCTTACTATGTGGAATAAAGATATGAAACCATAGGAAATTTATTGTTTTTTTCTTTTTGCTTATGTGGTGCTGAGGAATTGAACCCAGGGCCTCAGGCATGCAAGGCAAGCGCTCTACCACTGAGCTACCTTCCCAGCACCATAGGAAATTTAATATCTGTATAGCATAAAAACAATAACCAATTTTGTATTACTCTTGATAGAATTAAGACATTTTCATGTTTATGGCAGGGCAGTTACTGTACCCATGTTTCAATGATGACTGATCAAATTGCTCTTCTATAAAAAGGGAACAACAGTTTTATTAAGGTTATTGTACAGGTTAAATGAGATAAGTAGAAAGTTCTTAGAAACAATGTTTGTTGTTGTTTTTATGCTGGGGTCTGAACTCAAACTAAGCACTGTCTCTGAGCTCCTTTTGCTCAAGGCCAGCACTCTACCACTTGAGCTACAGCATTACCCCCAGGCTTTTTCTGTGATTAATTGGTGATAAGAGTCATGGGGACTTTTCCTGGCCTGGCTGGCTTTGAACCATGATCCTGAGATCTCCGGCTCATGAATAGCTAGGATTACAGGCATGAGCTATACTGGTACCCAGCTTTAGGGACAGTTTTTGAAACACCAATATTCATGTTTTATTCTGTTTTATGTGTAGAGCTTGAAATTAGGGCATGGGCACTGTCCCAGAGGTCTTGTGCTCAAGCTAGTGCTCAAACCACTTCTCCAGCTTTTTGATGATTAATTTGAGGTAAGAGTCTTAAGGATTTTCCTGCCCAGGCTATCCTTAAATCTCAGCCTCCTGAGTAGATAGGATTATAAGCATGAGTCCCTGATGCCTGGCTTTGTGTTTATTCTTCAGTGCTCTTTCATATTTGCTTGGTAAAATGCTGAAGATCAAAAATAACTTTCTTTCAGAGCAAGTGGAATTACCTACCGTGGCGTCTGTCAGTGCATCAGTAATTAAATCTCCATCGGACCCCTCCCATGTTTCTGTACCTCCACCTCCACTCTTACTTCCAGCCGCCACCACCAGGGCTAATAGTACATCGATGCCAAGCAGCCTCCCCGGCATAGAAAACAAGCCTCCACAGGCTATCGTGAAACCACAGATCTTGACCCATGTTATTGAAGGCTTTGTCATTCAGGAGGGGTTGGAGCCATTCCCTGTAAGTAGGAAGCACATTTGTGATGTTTCAATTGGTATTATCCAGACAGTATTTTTTTTAAAAAATGATCATTCTTCTCTTAAGAGGAAGCTTGCAATTTTATTTTAAAAGTTCTGTAGAATTTAACTATGTAAGTTATGTATTTCCAAATATAGTGCTAGAATAATATGCCATCCATAAAATATGGAGACTTTTCTTTTTTCTTTTTAGACAAAGTCTTGGTTTATATAGTCCAGGTTGGCCTGTACTCACAATCCTCCTGCCTCTACTTCTATTTTTTTTAAAAGAAGATTGAAATGACACCTCTAAAATATATTGTTTTAAAAATGGTATTCTGGGGCTGGGAAGGTGGCTCAGTGGTAGAGCGCTTGCCTTGCATGCATGAGGCCCTGGGTTCGATCCTCAGCACCACATAAGCAAAAAGAAAAAAGCTGGAAGTGGCGCTGTGGCTCAAGTGGTAGAGTGCTAGCCTTGAGCTGAAGAGCTGAGGGACAGTGCCCAAGCCCAGAGTTCAGGCCCCACGACCGGAGCCCCCCCCAAAAATCTGATACTTTGTGAATTTTAAATTGAGTGCAGAATATACTAACTTATAATCCCCTAATGCATCTGAACTTATCTAGTTTATGGTTTATAATTACCACATAGATTTTCTCTGTTCCTGAGTTTCTGTCTTTCATCAGGTTTTTAAAAATTCTTTAATTTGTATATGACGTTATGTCGAAAAATGAACTTTACAGCTTTGGCGAGGCGGGGGGGGGGGGGGTCGGGCAGGGAGGGAGAGAGATAGGAATGGGGAGAAGGGGAAACAAAGGAGGAGGCAACAATGCTTGATAAGAAATGTACTCATTACCTTGCCCATGTAATTGTAACCCTTCTGTACTGTATTTTCACAATTAAAAAAAAAAAGACTTGAAAATTTAAAAAAAAAATTCTTTAATTTGGGCACTGGTGGCTCATGCCTATAATCCTAGCTTTTAAAGAGGCTGAGATCTGAGGATAATTATTCGAAGCCAGGCTGGCCAGGAAACTATGAGTCTCTTCTATTAAATCACTGAAAAAGCCAGAAGTAGAGCTGTGGCTCAAGTGAGTGCTAGCCTTAAGCTAAAAAAAGCTTAGGGACTGAGCCCAGGCCCTGCATTCAAGGCACAGGACTGGCAAAAATTAAAATTAAAAAAAATTTCAGTTCCCCAAGACTTTTTCAAATTATTTATTTATTTATATTTCTTTGTTGGTTGTGGGGCTTGAACTCTGGGCCTGGGTACTGTCCCTAAGCTCTCCAGCTCAAAGCAAGCATTCTACTGCCAAGTCCATTTTTTGGCATTTAATTGGAGATAGAAGTCTCAGGGCCTTTCCTGCCTGGGCTGGCTTTGAACCACAATCCTCAGATCTCAGCCTCTTGAGTAGCTAGGATTACGGCATGAGCCACTGGCGCCCAGCTCATTTTTCATTTTTGTTATTAGAAAGATGATGTATAGAGGGTTTTACAGTTACATAAGTCAGGTAATGAGTACATTTCTTTTGGGGCAGTGTCACCTCTTCCATCACTCTTTCCCATTTCTCTCTCCTGACCCCTCTACCCACAAGTTGTATAGCTCATTTTTAGTATCCAGTGAGTACCAGTGCTTCATTTGTTCACCCTTTGTCTTCTTTTCTGTGTCCTCCTTTACTCCCCTCCTGCTTCCAAGACAGATAAAGGAACAAATAAGATGAAAAGAAAACAAAAAAACCTCTTGTTTGAATATCCTGGAGTTCATTTTAATATTATTTTGTATGATCAAAGACATTGTGTCTTTGTGTTCCTCCCCTGAGTATTCTTTTGTTTCACTGTGTGTGAATGCCTAACGTCCTATATAATTTTTCATGTCCCAGTGTATTTTAGATCTAGCTTCTGCATATGAGAGAAAATATGTGCCGTATGTCTCCCTGAGCTTGGCTTATCTCACTTAACATGATTTGTTCTAGGTCCATCCATTTCCCTGCAAATGACATAATATTCTTTCTAATGGCTGTGCAAAATTCCATTGTGTATGGGAACCACATTTTTTGGATACGCCATTTGGGCTGTTTCCCTATCTGGGCTATTGTGAATAGTACAGCAGTTAACATGATGTACAAGTGTCTTTATGGTATCCTGCCTTGTGATGTTTTGTGTAGATGACCAGAAATGGTATGGATAGGGAAGATGCATGTTTAGTGTTTGGAGGAACCTCCAGACCACTGTCCAGAGTAGTTGCAGTTGTTTACATTCCCACCAATAGTGCAGTGGAGTTCCTTTTTCCCTACATCCCTCCAGCATTTGTTGTTCAAATACATGATGTTAGTCTAAATAGGGTGAGATAATTTGCATTTCCTTTATGGTCAGGGATATATCTGATCATTTCTTCATCTGTTTCTTTGCTATTCTTACCTCTTCATCTGAGAAGTTTCTCCTTTGTTCTTTACCCAGTTAGTGATTGGTTTGTTGGTTTGGGGAGGAGTTTAAATTTTTTTTTAATTTTAAGTAGTTAGACAAAGGGGTTTTTGTGCAATAAACCAGTTTATGAGTACAACACATCATACTTATGAGTATAACACATCATATGTGTTGTTTTCCCCCATCTTTCACTACTCACTACCCATAAGCTCAAGTTACATGGTTCTATTTTCATATATATACCCTGAATATAATGATTGTATTTGCCCACTCTGCTTGAGCAGTACTTTCAAAAATTATGTTGGTCCAGGCAAGAGAATCATGAGCTTAAAGCCAGTCTGGGCAACGTGATTATGGCAAGCCTGACTGCATAGCAAGACACTAATAGCCAAAAGGGAAAAAAATTTTTTTGTTTCCAAAGGTGCTGCGAGTATAACAAAGTTCAGGGCTCTGAATTTGATGTCCAGCAGTGGAAAAGAAAATAAATGCCCATGCAGTATCTAAATATACTGTTAGAGCTTTTGCTTTTCAGTGCTGAATATTGGGACATTGCCAGTATAGGAATGAACATAAAAAATCACTAAAATTTAGCACTTCCCCCCCCCCCCCCCCACTTCTGAGCTTGAACACGGCCTGAGTACTGTCCTGGAGCTTTTTCACCTTGAAGTTAGTGCTCTACCACTTGAGTCACAGCTCCATTTTTGGCTTTTTGGTGATTAATTGGAGATAACAATCTCATAGTCTCCTGCCTAGTTTTGAACGGCTGTCCTCAGATCTCAGCCTCCTGAGTAGTTAGGGTTACAAGTTTGAGCCTCCAGTGCCTGGCCAATTTCTTTTTTTAATTAGGAAAGTAGGATAGTAGTTCTATTTGGCAGAGACTTTGAAACATCATTCCACTGGTAACTAAACTGCATAACCTCTATCCAGGTAACAAAACACTTAAGGAAATAGAACTGAGTGAATGAATATTACAGATACTGTTCAAAAGATTTTAACCAATTATTTCTGAATGTCTTTTAAAAGAGATTATTTTATTCTCTTTTAAAGGTGAGTCGTTCATCTTTACTAATAGAACAACCTGTGAAAAAAAGACCTCTTTTGGATAATCAGGTGGTGAATTCTGTGTGTGTTCAGCCAGAGCTACAGAACAATACAAAGCATGCAGATAATTCCTCTGACACAGAGATGGAAGACATGATGGCTGAAGGTTTGTGATTTCATTTATAATACTCTTTTTATCTTACTTTGGTGTTTGCAGAAGCATAGATATTTTTTTTCACTTGGAAATACTTTTATTTTTAGACAGTACATTATTTGCCTAAAATAATGAAAAAGCTAACCAAACTAGCTAAAATAGCAAGATTGGCAGCATTAGTTTGACTTGAAGGACTGTGGATGGAAAAATTCGACATAAGATACAAAGTAATTCAGATTTTTTTTTTCAAGATAACCAATTATCTCTTTTAAAAGTAGACTTAGGGGGCTGGGAAGGTAGCTCAGTGGTAGAGTGCTTACCTTGCATGCATGAGGCCCTGGGTTCGATTCCTCAGTACCACATAAGCAAAAAGAAGAAAGCCGGAAGTGGTGTTGTGGCTCAAGTGGCAGAGCGCTAGCCTTGAGCTGAAGAGCTTAGGGACAGCGCCCAGACCCTGAGTTCAGGCCCCACGACCAGACCCCCCCCCCCCCAAAAAAAAAAAAAAAAAAAAGTAGACTTAGAATGACTATTTTACAGAATTTGCTCATATATCTGGAGCTTTCTAGGTTGTTTCTTATACTTTGCATATTCTGGTTTGTGGTAGTAAATATTACAATTATTTTTAGGGATATACTCTTTAGAAAAGAAGAGATTTAAAGAGAAAAATGTCAGCAATTCTCCTGAAAGAATTTGTTGTGATGGGGTAGTCATGAGGCTTAAATTCAGGGCCTGGACACTTTCCTTGAGTTTTTTTTGCTCAAGGTTAGTGCTCTACCACTTTGAGCCTTAGCAACACCTTGGTTTTCTGGTGGTTAGTTAGAGATAAGAGTCTCATAGAGGTTGTTGCCTGAGCTGGGTTCCTCAGATCTCAACCTCTTGAGTAGTTAGGATTACAAATATGAGCCACCAGTCCCTGGCAAAAGAATTACCTTTAATAAACTATATTTGAATAATGATTATTCCATACAGGTTAAAACGGTATTCAAAGTTGGTGCTATTAGCTTACTTCTGTAATCTCAGCTACTCAGTAGGCAGAGAATTGGAAGATCATAGTTTGTGGCCAGCTTGGCAAAAAAAAGGTAGTGAGACTCTTCCATCTCAACAAATAAGCCAGGTAATAGTGATAGACAGCTGCAATCACAGCTGTGTAGGTAGGAGGCTCTAGGTAGGAGGATCATGCTGAGGCCAGTTCTGTACAAAAATGTGAGACTTTATCCAAAAAATAAAGCAAGAAATGTCTGGGGCTGTGGCTTAGGTGGTCAAATGCCTGTCTTAATAAGTGTGAGGCCCTGAGTTCAAACACTAATATCTAATACAGTGAAAAGTATTCAGAATATCAAAAGGAAAGCAACTATTTTATATGAGGACATTTTTTGAGGTAAAATGAGAGGAAAGCTGGATGTGCAGGTATTTTTCTTGCTTATATCTACAGCAGTATGCAAATGGAAGTTCTTACCTAAAAACCTGTTTGTAGGGCTGGGAATGTGGCTTAGTGATAGAGTGCTTGCTTAGCACACATGAAGCCCTGGGTTCGATTCCTCAGTACTACATAAACAGAAAATCTGGAAGTAGCTCTGTGGCTCAAGTGATAGAGTGCTAGCCTTGAGTAAAAGAAGTTCAGGGACAGTGCTCAGGCCCTAAGTTCAAGCCCTAGGACTGGCAAAACAACCTGTTTATAATGTGTGCCCTGGTGTACATGCATAGGAGGAACATGCATATTTCATGATAGGGTATATAAGAAAGTATAACAGAGAATATGTGTTATATTGTGCTAGCACTCAAGTGATAGGAATAAAGGAAAGCCTTCAAGGAGCTTTTGACTTGGGAATCTCTGCAGCAGAACAAATGGTTAGTTTTCAATGAATTATATATACACTAGAACTTTAGTGCTGAGATATTTCAGTTTGAATTGTTCCTGTTGAGGTGAGATTTTTTTTCTGCTTCTTGGGTCTCTTTAAGATTAAGATTAAACAGGAAGAACTGTTCATACTAGAACACCAAGCATGTGCTGGCCACACTGTAGACTACCAACTACCTTTGCGGAAGCAGCTACGAGTTATTCTCTTGCCAGGGGCATTCTCTTGCTCACTGCTGATTTTTAGGTAGATGACTTACACTAAAGAGTGTTTTTGGAGACTGTTATTTATCTGTTTAAGGTATTTAGAAATTTGCCATGTAAATCTGTAATTGTGGTGGGAAAAGGAAGGAAAAGACTGAAGGAAGACAGAGCAACAGGTCGTTTTCAGAATAAGGAAAGAAATTAAGATGCTTAATGTATCGGTGGAGAAATACTACAGAAATATGTTAAAGGTTTATGAGCTTTAGCATTTAATTTTCCAAGGTAATTTCGTAATTGCGATTCTCACTGTGTTCTCCAATGTTTTTTGTCCTTCCCCCCCCCCCCCCCCCCGTCCCCGCCCCGCCTCCAGCTGTGGGGCTTGAACTCTGGGCCTGGGCGCTGTCTCTCAGCTCTTCAGCTCAAGATCAGCATTCTACCACTTGAGCCACAGTGCCACTTCCAGTTTTCTGATAGCTTATTGGGGATAAGAGTCTCATAGACATTTCTGCCCTGGCTGCCCTTGAACCTCGATCCTCAGATCTCAGCCTCCTGAGTAGCTAGGATTACAGGTGTGAGTCACCGGCACCCGGCTGTTCTCCAATGTTTATGGGAAATACTGTAGGGTTAAATGAGGAAGTCAGTCAGAGGCCTGTACTCGTTACAGTCAGTACTTGCATAGTTTCAACATTAAAGATATTCAGCATTTTTAGATACTAAGCTTCATGGTAAGGCTGGTTCTCTTTTTAAAGTGTAAAATGTGGTTTATTTGGCTGTTTCTGTGACCAGCATTCTCAAGCAGTAGCTTTGTTTCCCTGGTAAGTCGTGATGATGGTTTCCTTCTTATTGCTGCACTTTGCTGCTAAATAGTGTATGATTTCAAGTCTTTGGAGAAAGTAAAAAGTAATTTCTCACAAAGTAGTGGAGACTTGCATTAATTAGGATGTAGGTTTGGCTACTCCTCTAGAGATGCAGAATGAGAACTGGTTTATAAGATGGGCTAAGTTTCTCTGACATAGTGGTAGTGGGCCTGGTAGCTCCAATGTCTGTCTCCCGTCCCTAGAATAGTGTCCTCATTTCTAGTATGGCTGACAAGGAAAGGCATTATTTGGAAATCAGCCACACATAGGGCAGATGCTAGCTTTTATCCTACACATAGCCTTGTGCCAAGCTCTTTATTGCTGGGGAAAAAGTAAAGAAATGGATGCTAGAGAATTATCAGGGGGGTTTACTATGTAATCTGAATCTGATTAGCTATGTCAATACTTGTAAAGATTTATTTGGTTCTGCTACTTTTTTAGTTCACAAATAAATATGAAAAGTAGCATTGGGAGCATTACTAGATGTGTTAAAAATACAATAGAAATCTTTGAAAGCTTAGTATTCCTCCTTTTTTTATTATTCATGGGGCTTGAACTCGGCCTGGGCTCTGTCCCTGAGCTCTTCAGCTCAAGGTGAATGTTCTACCACTTGAGCCACAGTGCCACCGGGTTTTCTGGTAGTTTATTGGAGATAAGAGTCTCACGGACTTGCCTGCCCAGGCTGGCTTTGGACCACATCCTGAGTAGCTAGGATTATAAGTGTCCAGCTTATTATTCTTTCTTTATGAAGAATAAAACTACTATTGTACTTTGGTTGATTTGTTCATCTTTTTTCTGTGGGAGCTGGTGCTAGGCTTAAACTCAAGCACTCTACTACTTGAGCCACAGCTCCATTTTTAGCTTTTTGGTGGCTAATTGAAGAGTCTTAAGGAGTTTCCTGCCCAGGATGGCTTTGAACTGTGGTCCTCAGATCTCATCTTCCTGTGTAACTAGGATTACAGTCCTGAACTACCACCACCCACCATCTGGCAATTTGTTACTCTTAAGCCATATCTATTTAGTATCTTTCATCTCTCACAAGCAAAAAAATAATTTCTTCTCAACAGATATTCTGATCTATTATCAAATATTCTACATTGTTACATTAACTGATAAAAGTCTTTGAGCCCAGTGCCGGTGGCTCACACCTGTAATCCTGGCTACTTGGAAGCTGAGATCTAAGGATCTTAGTTCAAAGTCAGGCTGGGCAGGAAAGTCTATGAGAGTCTCTTATTTCCAATTAAGTACCAAAAGAGCTGGAAGTGGCACTGTGACTCAAAGTAGTAGAGAACTACTAGCCTTTAGCAAAAGAGGCTCAGGACAGAGCCCAGAATTTAAGCCCCAGGACTGGCACAATCAATAAATCATTATCTTTGAAGGAAAACTTTTAGTATAGCTTGTTCTTGAAACATCTTGAGGGATGAATTGTTCAGGGCTGTGTTAGTGGCAATAGTGGTTGAGAGGTTCTGTCTCTGGTTTAGGCTTTTCAAGGACGGATGATGTTGAAGCATAACAAAAATACAACGTGCTTATAGCCTGGGAATAGGACACTCCCTAGGACAGGGAATACAGGGTTAGTTCATGATTTCATTACGTGAAATACTACTTTATGTGTTTTGGTAGTTGTTCTCTTTCTGTCTACTTCTCCAGTAAAACTGGGATGACATAGGTGCATGAATTTACTGAGCACATGGCATCTTTTTCTACTTTTCCCAGTTGTCTTCATCTTCCAAGTCTTTGTTTAGTGGATAATATAGAAAGTGCACATACGGTGCTCACAGCTAAGTCTTAGTGGGGTGTTTTTGTATGTGGTGGTGTTGAAATTATAATGATGTGAGAAAATGGCACAACATGGCGGATTTAAGCATTTTCTAGGTTTCACTGAATTCACACAATATATCTTTTAATACTCTTAGTTCTTATATAGAAAATGAGAATGGGGCTGGGTGCTGGTGGCTCACGCCTGTAATCCTAGCTACTCAGGAAGCTGAGATCTGAGGATCTTGGTTCAAAACCAGCCTGGGCAGGAAAGTCCGTGAGACTCTTACCGCCAATAAACCCTAGAAAGCCAGAAGTGGCGCTGTGGCTCAAGCAGTAGAGTGCTCACCTTGAGCTGAAGAGTGCAGGGACAGCGCCCAAGCCTAGTGATCAAGCCCCACAACTGACCGAAAAAAAAAAAAAAAAGAATGGGAATGGGATTGTCACTCGTTTATTATTTCAGTTCTTTGAGAAAGGTATTATAAACCCCTATTTATAGATGACAAAACTGTGGGTGATTGGGTTGTTTTCTAATGGATGACTGCTGCTCAGTGTCTAGTGTAGTTTGCCTCTGAGATGGTGGCCTGCAGAAGAACTTGCCCTGACCTCAAATGGTAGGATATGGATAGGATATGGATATTCTGACTTAATAGAGACCACCCTGAAAAAGACATCAGCAACTGGAAATTATAAAACAATTTTGATCTAACTAAAAGGAACCATTTTATGATTTTATATATATATATATATATATATATATATATATATACCTTTATATATTTAGTCCTTGGAGACATCAAAATTCGACCATTTTGAAGTCATCCTCATTCTCCTCAGTTAAAGGCTTTTCTGCCTTATTTCCCACATTGTGCATTTTGAAAATGCTCTTTCTGGAGGGTAGTGATTGTGAGTTATTCACCTTAATTTCTCACAGTACAAGTAAGACATACTGGATTCTCAGCAAAAAATGAACCTTTAAAAATATTATTTATATGGGAACAAAACCCATCTAATACTATGAAGAAGCAAGAGAGACTTTATGGAGGTGGTTGGTTGCCTTTGCCCTGCCAGAATAGCCTTGGGTTGAAAAGTTAAAGGATCATTGGCCTGGTGGCAGCATCAAATCAAAACAGAAACTGAAAGAAAAATGTCCACAATTTCATTTTTGGAACTTTTCCCTGTTTTTTTTGTTTTTGTTTTTTTGTTTTTAGAGACATTAGAAGAAATGGACAGTGAGCTGCTCAAGTGCGAATTCTGTGGGAAAATGGGATATGCTAATGAATTTTTGAGATCAAAAAGATTCTGTACTATGTCATGTGCCAAAAGGTATTTCTTTTTTTAATCTTTAAAAATGATGTATTTAGGGGCTGGGACTATGGCTTGCCTAGCACAAATGAAGCCGTGGGTTTGGTTCCTCAGTACCATATAAACAGGAAAAGCTGGAAGTAGCACTGTGGCTCAAGTGGTAGAGTGCTAGCCCTGGGCAAAAGAAGCTCAGGAACAGTGCCCAGGTCCTGAGTTCAAGCCCCAGGACGGGCAAAAAAAAAAAAAAAAAAAAAAAAGATGCATTTATTTATTTTTCAGGACTATCACTTCTATAAGAGAAGTTTTTAGTTTTAGGGACTTAAAAAAATGTAAGTAACTCAAAAGCTAGCCTTCTTTCACTAGTCATTTGTGCACACAGGAGTCCTTAAATAATGGGAAACGTCTTGGAATGATCGAATATGCCCAGATTTTTTAAATGACTTGGAAAGGCAAAATAAGATTTTGGATTTCATTTTATGCAAAATGGGTTTTGAGAAAAGGGATATTACATTAAATGACACTTTAAGAGATGACCCAATCTTTCATATCAGGATATTGGTTTTCTACCAATCATAATGGGATCAGAGTTCTGATTTACACTTATCACGATTTTTCCTATTGGGGTTTTGAAACTTGTATACTTAAAAATTTGTATCTTTTTTGTTGTTGTGGGGCTTAAACTCTGGGCCTGGGCGCTGTCCCTGAACTCTACAACTCAAGGCAAGTGCTCTACCACTTGAGCCATAGCACCACGTCGGTTTTCTGGTGGTTTATTGGAGATCAGAGTCTCACTTCCCTGCCTGGGCTGGCTTTGAACTGTGATCCTCAGATCTCAGCCTCCTGAGTAGGTAGGATAACAGGTGTGAGCCACAATGCCTGGCATTTGTATGTCTTGAAATCTGAGAACTTTTATTTCGCAGATAATTAAACCATTTTTTCCATATTTGCCTTTTTCTAACATTCAGCTTGTTATTTCTCAGAATAGTTTGTTTACTTCGTAAACGGGCTCATAAACTCCGATTTATTCAGGGTTAACTAAATGATCAGGGTTTTAAATTTTTTCAAAGCTGGTTAAATCAGCTTAGCTGTTATCTGAAAGAAGCTGCCTATCCAGATGAGTTCTTTCTTCTCAGGTCCTTTTAAGATAACAATGGTTATTTGTTATATGGGAAAATAAAGTATGAGATGACAGTAAAATAAATATGACCATAAAATAAAGATTTTAAATTAAAATTTGCACAGGGTATATTGGGTACTTGTATTGGCAGTACATATACTAAAACTAGAACAATACATAGAAGATGAGCATGGCCCTGTACAAATTTAAAATGTTCCTTTTTTCCCCCTGTGCTTTGGGTAATTCTATCCATACTATTTAGAAATATTTCAGAATATTTAATGTGACAAATGCTTTCCCCAGAGATGATTATTACGTGGTATTGTACCTTTAAATAAATCTCTTTAGAGGGCTAGGGGCTCTAACACAGGGAAATAGAGATGAAAGAACAAGGAAGAAAGGAAGACAACACTGTAGCTGCTTACATGTCTGCTTAGCTGTCAGTCTTGGCAAGCTAAATACGAAATACAAATACCTTCTGTGATCCTTTATCAGTAGTAAGGTTGACATTTGTAATCCTGGCTACTCTTGACAACTGGAGCCTGGAGGAGCATAGTGTGAGGCCAGCTGGAACAGAAAAGTCCATGAGATTTCATCTCCAGTGAACTACCAGAAACACTATCTGGAATTGTGACTAAGTGGTAGAGTGCCATCTGTGAGCAAAACAAGCTGAGTGGTTCTAAAAATTAAAAAAAAAAAAAATGCAGGTTTCACCAGGAAATAAAATTAGGAACCAAAAACTTACATTGTTGAGCCTATGCATGTATAATGAACACAGCAAGAGCTTTTTGAATTATTTTATGGTAATATGAAGTGGCCATCAGGACACTTTTATATTTGTTGGGGAAAAATAGTTGAGGAAAATTAATTTTGTTATTGATCCTAGAAAGTTATTAATAGCACAGTTAACTAGGATTTTTTTCCTTGTAATTTTCTTGGAGCATGAGGGTTTTGAAAATAATAACTTGTAGAGTCAATTTTATACGTGTAAAAAAAAACCTGCATATAATTTTGTTAGACGATTTTCTCTCACACTTCTTTCTAGGGAAGGCTGAGTCTGTCCTGCAGCTTCACTTTTGCATGAACCTTCAATGTTTAAAAATACTAACAATTTCACTGGAACATGGTTGTACATGCTCAGTATTTTCAGTGGCTGTGTACATTATATTGTAAGAGTTGAGTGTTTATGACAAACACTTGTATGACCTGTATTACCTAAATATTTACTCTCTGGCTCCTCATAGCATCAGTTAGTGAGACTGTGGTCTAGACTGTAAAGCCGCTTGATGGCATAGAACTCCTAAGTTGTCTCAACAAAGATATATACTTAAAAAAATCCTTAAGCCAATTTTAAAGAAGTATGTAGTTCCAAATTTCCAGAAGATTAGGCACAATGAATTTATTATATAACTTTGGAATTTCAACTTTATATTTTCACTTTTTTATAGCAAATTTTTTATTGTAATTAAGTGATTACATAAATTTCACAAATTTCACAGTATTGTGAGATAGTGATACTTAAAGTCACAAACACATTCTAACCTTTATGGGCAAATTGTCTTTATTGTGGTCTATAAAGTTTATGAATTCTGTGAGCTTTGACAGTACAGTTATTTCTTCCACATCAGGTGATATGTACATCACTTTTTGATTTAATAATATTCTAAAATATTTTACTAACTGCTTGAGCTGCATATTATATTGATCTCTGAAGAGATCAAAATACAACCTCTCTTCAGAAATTACTTGAGAAAATATCAGTTTGAATATACATTCTAATTACTACAGAATTGTTCCTCCTAGAACCTTGTGTTTGCTGCTATTAAGATTACTCTGGGGCTGGGAAGGTGGCTCAGTGTTTGCCTTGCATGCATGAAGCCCTGGGTTCAATTCCTCAGTACCACATAAGCAGAAAAAGCCGGAAGTAGCGCTCTGACTCAAGTAGTAGAGTGCTAGCCTTAACTGAAGAGCCGAGGGACAGCGGCCAGGCTCAGAGTTCAGGCCCCACAACTGACCACCCCCCCCAAATTACTTTCTGTATTTTGAGGAAAATTTCTTACTTCCATGCATAGTGAGAAAATATCAATCCATTTTTATAGATGCTCAGTATTTAAAAGACATTATGGCTGGGTGCTGGTGGCTTACCTCTATAATCTAAGCTACTCAGGAGGCTGAGAGAGCTGAGAGTCACAATTTGAAGCCAGCTAAGACAGGAAAGTCTGTGAGACTCCAATTAACTACAAGAAAGCTTTTTGGATTTGTGGCTAAGTGGTAGAGTAATGGCCTTGATGGGGGGAATAAAAACCTCAGGGAAAGTGCCCAGGCCCTGAGTTCAAGCCCTAGAACTGGCACCAAAAAGGAAAAAAAAAAGACATTATGATAGAAGCCATTGTTTGACCTCTACCATAAACAAGTCCCTTGAACAATGTGGATTTACTTACTAAGGTATTATTAATAACTTAATGATTCACAATTGTACTTTCAAGGTATAATGAAATACAGTATGTTATGTAATCCTTACATTTTTTTCCCCCTTACTTTAATCTCTTAGGTACAATGTTAGCTGTTCTAAAAAATTTGCCCTTAGTCGTTGGAATCGTAAGCCTGATAATCAGAGTCTTGGGCACCGTGGCCGCCGTCCAAGTGGCCCTGAAGGGGCAGCAAGAGAACATATCCTTAGGCAGGTCTGTAGAAACTTTGTTCAGTGTATAATATCCTTTTTAGAAATGCAAGGAAAATGCAATGCTGTATTTTACTTGTACTACATTTTCCAGCTTCCAATTACTTATCCATCTGCAGAAGAAGACTTGGCTTCTCATGAAGATGCTGTGCCATCTGCTATGACAACTCGTCTGCGCAGGCAGAGTGAGCGGGAAAGAGAGCGTGAGCTTCGAGATGTAAGAATTAGGAAAATGCCTGAGAACAGTGACTTGTTACCAGTTGCACAGACAGAGCCCTCTATATGGACAGTTGATGATGTCTGGGCCTTCATCCATTCTTTACCGGGTATGTAATTCACCACTTTGCCTTAGGTTTTCTTTTGCATGTATAGTTGGGAATGATGTAGACTCATCCACACTTTTCACAAAATGGCTAGAGCAGTTCTGTGTACATGTGTAAGTGAAATGGCATTTGCTATTGAAATGTGATCTGTTTCCTCTTCCTTATTCCCTCAGCACAACTGGGTATTTTTTCATACCCTCCCAAGTCGATAAAAACTGACTAGTCCTGCTTCTGCTGTGACACCCAGCCGGTGAAGAAATATTAAGGTGCTCTCTTCTCCTCAGTCTGATTTCTCTCGAGAGGTCAGTAGAGAGATTGAATCAGACACCACTTCTCTTCTTCTCTTCTGTTTTTCTATCCTATTTCCTGTTCCCTAATTTAACCATTTTTTACCTAAGAGAGACTGAGGTTTTTCGTTTTTATTTTTCATTTCTGAAAGCTAATCAAGACTATAGAATATGGTAAGATTTTGGTTTTTCTTTAAAAAAATCAAGTTGATTCTTTGAAAGGAAGTTGTATTCCTTGTTTCTTTGCAGTAGATAAACATCAAAGCTCATCTGAAATTTTTTTCAAGTTGTCAGCTGAAGTTCAATTATGTTCATTCTGAAGCTCTCTTTTTATTTTCCAGTTCTCTCATTGTGATACTCTTTCCATCAACTTAAAGCCTCCTTTTTCTTTTAAAGCAACAATAATCTTTCTGTCTACTTTCTCCCAGGGGCTGGTAACTAGAGTCAGTTGTACCTTCACTTGTGAGGAGACCCACGCTGATTATATGTGTTAAGACTTAAGTTTCTTTTAAACTTGTGAACATACTCACTTTGATCTTAGGGATCTGGAAAATGGGAGTTTAAAAATTGATTCCCTTTAGATTTTATTATGGATCATATAGTTTCTCTTGATTCATAAGAATGTATCTCATTTGAGTTATCTAGCAGGCTTTGTAGAAATTAAGGTAATCATCTGCCCATTGTTAATATCTTTCTTGTGAAAGTGACCAAGGTGTCAGAAGCAAACTTAGAGCTCAAGAAAATATATTTAGAAATGCAAGTTTTGTAAAACTGCCATTCAGTTTACCTCATAAACAGAACTTTCTAAAATTTTATTGAATTATTATACCAGTGTCTTTGAAACAAGGTATAGTCACTTTTAAAGGAAAATGAACTTGTTTAGAGGACGTACCCTTTGCTCATATGTAGATTTTTAAGTACACACCAAAGACAAGTTCAGAGTTAATTGCTGACCCATCGGGGTTTAGAATCTGTTTAAAACTTAATGTAGTAGAGATGTTGAGTCTTCATTGGTTTGGGTTTTCAATATTTAAAAATTTTAACTAGTATAGTTATCTTCCGAATTAAAATTGGAGTCCAAAACTGATTCTGAGGTGCTGGATGTGAACTCGTTTTTCTTCAGCAATCACTTCACCATGTTGGGCAGCCATCTATCTATTTATAAACGAGTTCATGTTGAGGGGAAATATTTCTTTTCCTATAAGAGTTGTTTTCTATCCCAAGGAATTAGTTGTCCCAATAACTGATAATAGATACTGCTGGTTCTTCTCTCACTCCCTGTGGGCTTTTAGAAATAATTTTCACTAGAATCCACTTGTCCTGTGACTAATCTTGCTACTTTATAAGAACAAAGGGTAACTCCCATGTCTCATTCTTCCTTCGAGTTAAAAAACAAAACAAAAACCCTCAATTTTTTGTTCATACGCTTGACATTCTTGTTTTAATGAGTTAAGATACTTAATTTTGTTGTAAGTTGTTCAGAGAATATCACATACTATTATAAAAAGTCATAGTTTGCAGTCTAACTAATACTATTTTATAGTCAGAATAACTTTTTCTTTGCTGCTATAATGAAATACTTTCAAATTGCTTTGGCAGGACAAATAATAAGCTTATTTTTGTGTTCAGTTACATTGCCTTTCTCAAAGTTTTTCTCTGAGTAATGCCTTGTATCTTAAAGTAAATCTTTATCTTTGTCTCTGCTTCTGTGACTTGTTCAAATATCCTTCTGAGCCTTTTGTGGCTCATTCAGGTTTGCTTTCCTTGAGTTCAGTCTTCTCCCAAGATTTTTTCATAGTTTGAGAAAAGCTTACAAATTTCCTTATCTCTTTTAATCTCTTTTGTATTTTCTTGTAAGTTAGCATGGAATATCTTCCCTTTCTAATCAGGGTACCCCTGAGGTTTTCTGTTTTCTTTGTATGTCATCTTATTAACCATCCTGTTGGGATTATGTTAGACCTTGTATATGGCCCACCAATATCTGAGTTGTTATGGGGAGGGGAGGGGAAATATAGATTAAGATAGATAGATAGATAGATCACTTGTGCACTGAAAGTTCTCTGTACGAGCAATCTTATTTTCAATTAATGCTGTTTATCTACCTTGATATGGTAACTGCCTTTTGCAAAGATCAGTTTAGTATCTATAATCTTATGAATCCACATTTATATTTATATAAATCTATCTATATATATTTATATAGATAGATTTATATAAAGTGGAAACAATTTCTTCTTATTTTTTTTTGTGGCACTGGGATTTGTGCCTACAAGGCAAGAACTCTGCCACTTGAACCACACCCCCAGCTCATTTCTTGTAAGTCTGAATATTATTATTTTTTTTGTAATACTAGATTTGTAGTTTATTCTATACTATTGAGTTATAAGATGCCTTTTCAATAACTTTGCTGAGGTCAGTTTTTATGTGGGGCTTTTTTTTTTTTGTCTGGACTTTTCTGGAGAAATGACTGTGGACACTAGAAAGTTCACTAGGGACCCAGCCCATCCTGAGAACTGATCTTTGATTCTGGTGTTAGGCCAACTGAGTTGACTAATTGCTTTGGTGATGTGTGTTTTGAATACACTGTTGGGCACCAAGCATTTCATAGATATAGATGCTAATATCAGGAAGTCTCAGAACTTCACGTCAGTTTACCTTGAGTACTTTGACTTTTAAAAAACAGTTTTTTCTCCAGTGAGTTTCTAGAATCATCCTTGCTTCTGCCTCCCCCCATCCCACTTTTTTTTTTTTTTTGCTGGTCATGGACCTGAACTCTGGGCCTAGGCGCTGTCCCTCAGCTCTTCAGCTCAAGGTGAGCGTTCTACCGCTTGAGCCACAACGCCACTTCCAGCTTTTTCTGTTTATGTGGTGCTGTGGAATCGAACCCAGGGCCTCATGCATGCAAGGAAAGCACTCTACCACTGAGCCATCTTTCCAGCCCCCACCCCACTTTTTAAAAGTTACTTTATATTTCATCTCTGTACTAATGTACCTATACTTTTGGTTGGTTGTGGGTTTTGAACTCTAGGCTTGAGCCTGTCCTTGCGCTCTTCAACTCAAGGCAAGCACTCTACCACTTGAGCCACAGCGCCACTTCCGGTTTTCTAGTGGTTTATTGGAGATAAGAGTCTCACGGACTTTCCTGCCACCAGCGCCTGGCTTGTACCTAACCTTTTTTCTGGTGATCTAAACCTTTGAAGATAATGTATTCTTAGTCATGCTGTTTCCTGGTATACTTTTTGTATTATTTGCCAATACTTTGACTGTTCACCTTTTAGAAGACTTCTGAGGAGGAGTCACAGTACAGAAGAGAATATGTTCTATACACATACATACATACACACATGTGCATATATCTCTTCTTGATGAAGAACTTTCTATCCCCAAATGTAGTTCTTATGGTCCTTATTTCCTCTTACTTTTGTTCTCTGAATCTAAGTAAACCCTATCCTGTTCTTCTCTTTCTTCCTTCCTTCCTTCCCTGTGTCCTTGTAAGACTGAAGAGGGAAGAACATTAGTTCTTTCAGTAAAAGAAGGAGGAAGTCACAACTAGATGCAAGATTAGTCAGTTTTGTCTGCCCAGTTTTGTTGAGAGCTACCTCTAGGAAAAGAAAAGGGGCTTTTCTATGGTGAGTAATCCCATTTCATGTTAGATTCATAGATGGTAATTGGGGAAAAAAAAACATAAAAGTTTACACAGTTGAGGATTTTGAAATGTCAATTTAAAACTTATCAGATAAATTGAAAACCTGGGTGCAAGTAGGAAATAGTAGATGTATACTATCACAGGACTTGGGAATAAAGTAGCCAAGAGAGCAGCTGTTACACAGGAGAATATGTGTTACTCTTACAGAAAGCTCTTTTGTGGTAGATTATATTTTGTCCTTTATAATTTAATTAGTTATTCCGACCTTTATGCCTATGCAATATCTGTGTTTGGGCTGGGCTTACAAGGAAGGCTTTATCTTAATATAAACACGGTGATGATACATTTGTAGTAGCATGATATCTAAAGGTATAATGCAATCATTTCCATTTCTCATCATTTTGTATGTGTGTGTATGTTGATTTTCCATAGAATACTGGTTTGAGTAAAAGACATTAAAATGACTAGTTTTTATACTAATGTTAATTTTATAGTTTTACTGTGTTTATGCAATGTTTTTGCTTTCTCTCCCTGATTCATTCATTACCCCTGACCTACTGGTTTCTGTGCCTTTATGGGGAAGTTACTGGTAACTTGGATGTGCAGAATTTCTGGAAGACAGTAAAGACATTTATGTAGATATTAGCATTGTTACCTGCTGATGTACCTGCAAGCTAAAATACTTGTTGTTTGACACATTAGCCTACAAGCTTATACTTTCAATGAGAATTTGTTATCATAAGTGAAGTGGGTGTGTTGTATGCCTGTACTAGCCTGTGCAAGGCTGAGACAGGAGAATTGTCAAGACCAGCCTGGGCTGTGTAGCAGCCAAACAAAAAGCCAGGTGCTAGTGACTCATACTTATAATGCTAACTATTCAGGAGGCTGAGATCTGAGGATTGCGGTTTGAAGTCAGCCCAGGAAAGAGTCTGTGAGACTCTCTTTATTTCCAGTTAACCACCAAAAAAGCAGGAAGTAGAGCTGTGGCTCAAAGTGATCCAGCAGCCTTGAGCAGAAGAGCTAAGGGATAGTTCTAAATCCTAAGTTTAAGCCACAGGGCCAGCACCAAGAAAAGGGGGAAAAGCTATGTCGAATGATACTAAAATTTGGAGTTGATTGTACATTGAGTAGCATTATATGTGTATTGATACCGTGGTCTTGAGTTCTGTCTTAAGTCAACAGTAATAAATGACAAATTTTATTGCCAAGAACCTCTTAGCTGTACTTGGCAGCAAAATTTATAAATCAGAACAAAGTATAAATGATGAAAGTGGAAATCTTGATACTGGAGAAAATAATTTGTTTATTTGACAAAACATGCTGTTTCATTTGTCTTTGATCCTATGTGTGAAGAAGATACTACATAAAGATAAGTTCATGATGTGTGTGTGTGGCACGATGTCATAGATCACTCTGTACTTGCATGTGTGCGTGTGTGTTCATGTGCTGGTTCTGGGGCTTAAACTTAGGGCCTGGATGCTGTACCTGAGCTTTTTTGCTCAAGGCTAGAGCTCTTATCACTTGAGTCACAAAAATCCCTTCCAGCCTTTTTGGTGGTTAATTGGAGATAAGAGTCTCAGGGACTTTCTTCCCCAGGTTGGCTTCAAACCAGGGTTTCCTGAATCTTAGCCTCCTGTGTAGCCTGGATCATAGATGCGAGCCACTGGTGCTCCACTCTGTACTTTTAAACTAAGTATATATTTTTTTCTTTTCTTTTTTTTTTTTTATTTTTTGGTCATGGGTTTGAACTCAGGGCCTGGGCACTGTCCCTCAACTCTTCAGCTCATGGCTAGTGCTCTACTACTTTGTCCACTTTGTACTTTTTAAAATATTTTTGGTGTCAGTCCTGGGGCTTGAACTTGAGGCTTGGGGGCTGTCTCCCAATTTCTTCAAACTTTCATCCTCACAACTCTGCTCCTGTAGTGAGGATTACAGGGAGTACCTGGCCACTCTGTACATTTTTACCCCCACTAATTGTTGACTTTTATTTTATTTTGTTTGTTTTTGTGACAGTCCTGGGGCTTGAACTCAGGCCCAGGTGATGTCCCTGAGCTGTTTTATGTAAGCTAGTGTTGTAACATTTGAGCTATAGCTTCACTTCTGGCTTTTTTGTAGTTAAAATTAATTGGAGATAAAGGTTTCATGAAATTTCCTGACTGGGCTGGCTTTGAACTGTGGTCCTCAGATCTCAGCCTCCTGAGTAGCTAGGATTACAAGTTGGAGCCACTGGTACCTGGTGAAATTATTACTGTTACTACTATTACCACTACTGCTACCAGTATTATTATTAGATGATTGTGGAGCTTGAACTGCGGCCCTGGGTACTGTTCCTGATTTTTTTTGTTCAAGTCTAGCACTCTACCACTTTGAACCATAGCTCCATTTCTGGTATTCTGGAGTTAATGGGAGATAACAATTTCACAATTTCCTACCTAGTCTGCTTCCAAACCACTATTCTCAGATCTCAGCCTCCTGAGTAAGCTAGGATTAGAGGCATGAGTCACCAGCAACTGGCCAGCTATATTATTTTTATAACAAGATTTCCAAGTAAATTTCTTTACCTAGACTTTGAATTCCTATTTGAGAATATTAACAAATACTCTCTTCTTCAAGGGTGAACCCAGACCATTATAAATTCTGTGAGCTTTTCAGCCTGTATTGAGACCCACTGAGTGCATTAAAATTAATTGGGATTGCTAGGAGTAAAGTCTAGTTGTTGTATATTTATTCTAATTTCCTTTCTCTGATCACATTCCAGGCTGCCAGGATATTGCAGATGAATTCAGAGCACAAGAGATAGATGGACAGGCCCTTCTCTTGCTCAAAGAAGACCATCTCATGAGTGCAATGAATATTAAGCTGGGCCCTGCCCTGAAGATCTGTGCACGCATCAACTCTTTGAAGGAATCTTAACAGAATATGAAGCTTTCATGTAACACCAATTTGATTTGTTTTTACAGACTTGTAAGGTAAAGGCTTTCATTGGCCTAGAATAATATACTTAAAATGGAAGGCTAAACACATTGGGATCACTTCTACAGATACAATAATCCATCATAATTTTCATAATTACCCAACATTGGTGAAATTAATTTTACAAGGTACATACAACATTGAAAGACTTGTTACAGATGGCCATATTTTTCAAAGAAACGTTATACTAGATAATTTTTTAAATGTGATGTTCATCATTAATATATAGAATCCTTTTAAAAATAATTATTTACATTTCTTCTCTTTTGATTCAGTTTTCTTACACATTTTTCTATCCTATTAAGTTTTTAAAGGTTGTCATAGAGATGTGGAATAATTTAGAAGTCAATGATGCAGTTGTATGTAATGAAATAGAGTATAGTTCTCAGAGTCAGACCTTTTAGACAAATGCTTTATCTATAAGAAAGGATTGTGTTCTAGCATAAGCAGTACTGATCTGGAGGTTAAAACAGTTGGTTTCTCTTTGGCTTAAGTGATAAAATTAGCTTTCCTCTCAGTGTTTGTACATATACAGCAATGTTCTTAATGGAAGTCACTTGTACTCGTTAGGAGACATTTGACAATATCTAGACCCATTTTGGTCAAGAGCTTGGGGATAGTATTGGGAGAGTTGCTGTGGATACATAGTAGTAGGGGCCAGAGCGGTTCCTAAATACCCTACAATGCTTAAAATGTCCTTCACAATCAGTAGTGCCAAGACTGAGAAACTGATGAGGTTGGAGAGACAAATGTTGCTCTTTTTCACAGAGAAACACTGCGAGCATGGGGCAGGGCGTTAGAATGAACACACATACAATGGAAGTATTGTCAGGCAGCATTAATGTTGGACTTAGTTATTTTTTCCAGTTCGGTTATGCATAATAGAAAAGAACCATGAAATTGCTCATTATGAAAAGCAAAATGATTTGGCTCTCAGCTAGTATTGATTCAGATGAATTACTTGTCAGGTCTCTCTGCTCCCCTGCACTGTACTGTGAACCTGGTACCTCTCCTGACAAGGGCCGTGCATAGTGGGGATGTGATGGTAAACATACTGACTCTAGCTAGAATGCTTGTTTTCCTTACTAAACCCTTTGCATTCTTCCTGCAAAGCATTTATGAATTTATTAGTTTTGAATGATCAAATCTAATTTTAAAACTTTGAAAGCAAAAGTTTTTCACCAGTTCACTTTCTACAGAATTATTTCCTGCGGGCACCTTGAGAGCCTGATGGTCCTCTTCATCAAAGCTTTGAGAACATTATAAAAGGTTTTGTTTAATCACTTCTATGTCTTTATCACATCATTGAGGCAGTTTAATAACTGAATGAACATGCACAGAGAAGCAGACACAGTTCAGTAAGTGAAGGTAAAGAGAGTCCGTGAGTTTCAGTCATTTTCACTGCTCCTTTAAAAGATTGTGTTGAGCTAGTAGAAAACTAAAGATGTCACTAAAGACATGACAGATATTTATCTTTTGGCTTTGTGTACATTAGAAAATATTGGGTTATTTTTATATAAAAATATAGCGGGTAATTTTTTTAATCTCTAGATGCCTCTTGTTTGAATGTATGCTTTGTGAGATTCCTTGGGTAAGTAGTTGTAAATGAAGATGATTACTAATAGTTATGTGTAGAGTTAGAATGTATAATGTAAGGCCCATGTTCCACATCTACAGTAGCTTATAGTCCATGATATGCATTTCTTTATATCACATTTTAAAGTTTCAAGGGAAGGTAGGTAGTCTACAATCAGTTTTTATTTATTAATGAATAATAGTTAACCATCATGATAGTTGTATGCTTTTCTCCCTCACCTTGCAATTTCAGAGCATGAAGATATACTAAGCAGTAAGAAGAAATGTCTTGTTCCATGAGAGGAAGGCACAAAGGAAAAATTGCCCCTAGATTTAAAACTTTGGTACTACACAATCCATACAGTACTTCACAGTCAATACAAAGCTTATTATTTGGGGTTAGACTCCCTTAGCAATAATATTTATATCCCATAACCAGTTTATCTGTAGCTTTTAAAGTATTCTCTTTGAACTGTGTAAATCCTTTTATTTACTTCCTCCACAGGTGTCAGTCATCTGCACTCAACAAAAAGTACCTGCACCTGGCACTATATTACAGCATGCAGACAGGTTTCTGAGTGCAGTAGAGTTACAGATCTTGAAATGAGTCCAGATTTTCTGTTATCTCCACTTTGAACATAGCAGAAAATGCGCTTTTCTCACATGAGTTATTTGAGTTGGAAATAATTCATTTGCAGTGAGTAGTTCCCCATTGAAGTAGTTCTTCCTTCACCTATGATTTAAGCATCTGAAGTAACATACCTCTTGTGTCCACCTCTCCTGAGCCTTAAGCACTTTTGGTGTGCCGCTTGCAGGAAGTTCCAGCCCTTTTTCCTTTTATATTCCTAAGAAATTAGGGATTTACTTGGCAAGGAATGATATGTGGGAAACATGAAGTTTTTTTTGTTACTTAAATTTGTATTTTCTGCCTTGAAACTGTACTCTTTTCCTGTTTTGGAGGAAAACATACTTTTGAAGTTTTGTTTTAAGCCTTTGTTCCTAGAAAACAGATACAGTTTGTAAAAATTATTTTTCTATGACAGTATTCCTCAGCCTTGTATAGAGATGTGTAAGCAAAGCTATGCAGGTTGGTCTAGTATGAGAACTGTCACCTTTCAAGTGGCACTTAGCTCTGATGGTATTCTTTTATTTGCTGTGGAATCATAGGCCTAGGCATGGAGAGGGTAGGATGGGAGGGGAGGTCTCAGTGAGCACGCTGGAGGGTGGGAAGAGGTGGCAGGCAATAGTCCTCTCCTCCCGTCTTTGGGAGTTTAGCTCACCACAACACTAAACAGATGGCTGCACTTTTCAAGTTAGGTTCATGTTTTACCTAGTTTAACATAGAAACAGTTTTTCTTTGCTATAGTCTACTGTTTATATTTTTACTTCCTGGTGTATTGAAACACAACTGTATGAACAAGTAGTGGTTTTTGACATAGCTTGTCTTCATATGTTAAGTGTAAAGTTGTAGTCAAGTTGAAACCCGCGCCACACCCTGTCTCACTGTCCTGAGGGCAGTGTTCAGGTTTGCAGGGCTTTGCAGAGTTACTGCTTGGTGACAGTGTGGGGAGGAGATGGAGTCCTGGTCTGTACACAGCTGTATCCAGTGGATGAAACACTGTTTTCAACCAGAAGTGGCTGTGATTACTTTTGTGGCTTGAAGGCTTTCCTGCTCCTGATGAGCAGCAGGACGCCTGCTGCCCACCATCACTGGGTGTTTCTTAATGGCAGGAAAAGGCCTCGCCTGACTTCCTCCCCTAAAGTCCCCTTTAGCCCTGAAAACAGCACAGAAACTTGCTTCTTAGAAAGGCGTTGGCCTGGAATCCTTTAGAGGGTTGGTAACAGGGCTAACTTTAGGGAGGGACGCAACTTGGGTGGGTTTTTCTGATTACCTCAGTCATATTCCAATGAAATCTTTGAGCTGTGGAAACTTGCCCATCTATCCAAATTGCTTGCTGAGTCTGTTTTTTGGGCAACATATACATGACTAGTTGTGCCCAGAGAATGTCTTCTGGGGTGGTGGTGAAAGAGGAATATGGAGGAAGAGAGGGTACTGCAGCCAATAAAGTGAAGCCATTCAGTGTAGATATGGCCTTCATCAATAGTCCAAAAATTAACTATTGGACTAGCAGCACAGCAATATAAGACTACCTTCTTAAATGGAAAAGGAGATACTGTGCATTGAGCCTAGGGCCCCTGTGATTTTTAGTGTATAAGATTTGTCTGTAATCAGACCTGTTCTTCTCTTTATCAACTCGTCCTTAGATGCATTCATATCAATAGTACCAGTGATACCTAAGTTAGTGGTTTATTTTTGTTTATTTTTTTTTGTCAGTCGAGGGGCTTGAACTCTGGGCCTGGGTGCCGTCTCTGAGCTCTTTAATTCAAGGGGTGGGCTCCATCACTTAAACCACAGTGCCACTTCTGGTTTTCTGGTGGTTCATTGGAGACAAAAGTCTCACAGGCTTTCCCTGCCTGGGCTGGCTTTGAACTGTGATCCTCAGATGTCAGCCACTTGAGTAGCTAGGATTATAGGCATGAGCCAGTGGTGCCTGGCTTGTTTTGATTTTTGAAGATTATAGGTATTATAATTGGAGAATATTTGTCAAAAATTCAAATACTTCTTTTTTTTTTAATAATTGAGTGTCCAGAATTACAGAGGAGTTTCCAATTTCCAATTCCACACTTGAATTAGCCTTGTAGATTATTATAAAGAAGGGTACTTTAGGATGGTATTTTACTTGATAGGGTTGTGTTTCAGTCTTAAGAACTGGGTGACTAAAAGCTGTAGGTTTCTTGTCACTAGTGTGGATTTCTGTGAGTAAGGTTATCAGTATGAATCAGGATATGAACTGCATCAGTATTGATGTTCTGTAAATCCATTTAGAACATTTCATTTCATCACAGAGTGGGGATTTGATTAGATAAGCACAAATACAGTATTAAGAAAATATATAACTTAAAATTTAATTTTAATACTTTAAGCTATACATCTTAAAATACCTTTGGGAAGGTATCCCTCTTTTGTTAGAATTTTATAAAATGTGTCATTAGTTCTTTTTTTTTTTTTTTAATAGCAGTACAAGCCATTTCTTAATTAAAAAACATTTAAAACGCTATTACCTTCTTTGGAAGAAATTTCTTAAAACTTTTAAAGAATGTCCAAAGTTTTACACATTATTTGTAGAGCTTGTATAACCTATTTCAAAATTATAGTGAGATAAAGCTTTTTTTTTTAAAGTTGTAAGGCACTAATACAAATTTACAAATTTACAAATTTAATTATTACCATCATATTCCAGAGTAAACTGAGAGGAGGCTGGATGAGCGATCTGCAGCCCAGCTTCCCGGGTGGATACTCTGTTCTGGCTCTATCCTGTGCAGGCGCAGGCACACACCCTTTCCTGGTGTTGTGATTGGGCCAGTGGAGTGGCTCAGGTAATTAGAGCATCCGCTTAGCAGAAGCAAATCCTGAGTTCAAATCCCAGTGCTTCCCAAAATAAAAGCCCAAACCAAATGTCATGTTTATGGAACTTTGGAGGAAATGTTTCCACAAATCTTTTGTGTCCCCTCCCCCTTTTTTAATAGCATGTAGACACTGCATTTTAAAATGACAGCTACTATCTGTTGGTTAGTTTTATATGACACTTTGGTAATTATTTTTAAGTTCTTTTGGATGTCCAGTGTTA